AGTAAATTAAAGTAAGGAAAACTCAAAAAACCAAATGCATCACGTTGCCTAGAAAATTTAAGTTCTGTCAACCTCTATTTTTTTTTCAGTGTAGCTGTTCGACAGCCTGAAGCTGCGGCGAGCCTGGACGATGGCGATGTAGCGGTCCACGCTGATGCAGGCCAGCATCAGCATGCCGCTGTACAGGTTAACGCTGTAGGAACCACGCAGCAGCTTACAGGCCACCTGCCCCATCGGCCAATGGTACAGCTCGTTGTAGATGATGAACGGTAGAGCCATCACGAACAGAAGGTCAGCGATGGCGACATTGAGCAGGAAGACATTGATAATGGATCTGCTTCTTTTGTAGAGGGCATAGGTGAGGATGACCAGGCTGTTCCCCACAAAGCCCAGGATGCAGATGATGGAGTAAATATAAGGACCAACCACACTGTTCACCCTGTTGCTCTCATTGTATTCACACGGTTTATCAAAGTCACCATTGTAGTATTCAGCATAGTCGTCCTCGTCGTAGTAGACATAGCTGGAGAAGTTCATCTTGTTTCACTGTAATAAAAGTCAAAGAGGAAATTGATTAAAACTCCAAGTAATACAAAGCAGCGATTCCAAACTAGATACATAAAGGTCAAGAAAAAACACCAAGTGATAATAATGTTGACTTCAAAGACAAAAAACCAGCTTGGTCTTTATTTCCATTTTGTCTAGAATGGAGTCTAAAAATCTATAAAAAAATGTGGAAACTAAATTTGCATGCTGCTTGCAAGCTAAACGTTAACAGTAATATTCATGATTTTTCTTCTGTAAAGGGATCAGAGAGAGTATATTACACCGTCCCCTGCACTGCTGTATTTAGAAACAGGATTCTTTCCAATGTGGCTCTGTAAAGGTTCTAAAGCACTCTGGAGGACAGGTTGTCCACTGGTAAACCATCTAGAAATAAGTAAAAATATCTTAAATTAACTTTATTTACCATTAATTTCAGTAGGTAAATTAGATAGTTTGCCAATGGAATGAGGATTGTTACACTTAGAATAAGATACTTAGATAATATGCACTTGAAAAACTCCACAAAAACAAAAAAAACCCAACTGAAAATAGAACTTTATAGTCATATGTTTATACTACTGTTTTATTTTAGGTGTAAATTGTCTTGTTTCATTACCAAAATGTCTCCTTTACCTCATAAATCCAAGAACAAATGCACTTATTTTAAGAAAAAAAGACTTATCTAGATTTCCATTTTTTCCAGTGGAAGCCTCTATTTACTAGTCTTCACCAGAGCTCAGATGTCCAGGTCCAGGACAAGTCAGATGATTATAGCACCTTTTGCACTACCTGTGTAAAACCGTGCCAAAAATGATCTGAGATAACTGTTGAGTGTAAATGAAAGACAACTGAACTGGACCGTGCCAGACACAACCAAACCACGCTAGATCTAGTACTAGTTCATCAGTAGAGCTCGGCGCGGTTCAGTTGCGGCTCGGTTCTCTGATAACAAAGAGTGCATGACAGGTTAATCTCCTATTTACAGTCAGCTGACTAATTTCTCAGGTTTTCCCTTCGTGTCCGGCTTTGCAGTTCACAGATCTCCTGTTCACAACACAAACTTGTTCTTCGCCTATTAACCTAAATGGCATCAAAAGAGTGTGGTTTGGCCCGGGATTATCCCAAAACCACAGGCGGTGCCATAGAACACTGTCCAGGCACTGCCATTTTTGTTTGTCACGCATCATCACAAAAACATCATTATTAGTGCATAGACCCACCACCGCAATGTCCTCTGTGATCTTCACAAAAGGGTTTGTGGAGTGGACAGCAGAGCAGGTGTGTGTAGATAGGGTGAAGAAGAGTGGATCTAGCACACAGCCCTGGGGAATCCCCAATATGTTTGTTTATCCATCGGCAATTTCAACCTCGTTTTTCCTGAACGGACAAGATTTAGAGGGGTGTGGTCAGCCTGGAAAAACGGAAATACCTCACTTATCTGTCTTGAAAAGATTCAGTCTTGCCAACTGGACTTGAAGTTTTCTAGAAGATGCTGATGAAGATTCTCAGTCATCCATGTCATAGTCATTCCGTAAAAGTTCAAAAAATATCCACTGGACTTGGTTTCCAAAGTTTGAAGACGTTTCGCCACCTCTCCAGGAAGCTTTCTCAATTCAAATGTCTGGATCCGCCATGAGTTTGAGTCTTATATAGACAAAGCCTTGTATCGCTTGGAAACATGCAAAAGGAACGGATGAATGGGTCGTTAGTTCCATTGTTAGCCTGTAATATCTGAAACCTGTCTATGATTCTGAAGGTCAGTCGTTAAAGGGAGGGATTGTCTCCTGTAATACCTGAAACCTGTCTATGATTGTTAAGGGTTGGTCGTTAAGGAGGGAATTGTTCACCGGCTGGAGAGGGGAGGTACTTTGTTCCTCTGTGATGGGGTGGGGGGGTTTGGTGATATCTGGAAGGGATCATGTCTATGATTGAATTGTATGTTTTTGGAAGCTGGAATCTGAGTCCACCACCTCTGTTTAAAGTTGGTTTTTCTTTCTTAACATAGATGGCTTCCTTCACGCCCCTCTCAAACCACCTATTTTCTTTATCCAGAATGTGAACATTGTGGTTCTCAAAAGAATGTTCTTTGTCCATCAGGTGTAGATGTACTGCAGTCTTGTCCAGAGGAGGGCGCTCTTCTGTGTTGGGCCATGCGTCTGTGGAGAGGTTGTTTGGTTTCTCCAATATAAAGATCAGAGCATTCTTCGCTTACTCAACAGCATATGCCACTCCGCTCATATTCGGTCTGGGGGTTTCATCTTTAGGATGCACTAGCCTCTGTTTAAGGGTTTTGTTTGGCTTGAAATGTACTGGGATTTTGTGTTTGGAGAAAATCCTCTTGAGCTTTTCCCTTATGTTTCTGGAGTGTCAGCCATAGATGTCACAGGTGTTAGGAATCCAGTTTGTGTGGGTTGTGTTTTTGTGTGTTTTCCCCTTCACCACCAGGTGGCGCCTGGTTCTCATTGGCACTCTCACACACCTGCGGATGGTTGCCTCATTACCTGAGGACTCTTAAGCTGCTGACTGCCACTACCTCGACGCCAGAGTGTTTGCCAGTTTTGGGTACTCTAGCCAAGCTGAGTTTTGTTGAGTCAAACTGCGTTTTTTCAACCTGAGTCTTAACCTTGTTGTTTTTGTCTTTGCCTCTCGGCAGGAAGTCATCCTGTAAACTGGATGTTTTAGACCTTCTCCCCCTGGAAGGATCATCTGAGCTTCAAACTGAGCTGGGAATTCAAACTGGAGGTTTGGATCTACTTTTCCCCAAAGGATTGTTTGAGCTTCACACTGAGCAGGGGATTCATCTCCACAAGAAACCTTTCAAGTACTGCGGGAAATCTAAGTGGCAGTCAGCTCCTCCGTTCCTCAAGGAAACACCTCAACCTGGGTAAACCCTCTTTGCCCTCCAACGAGCAAGTCAATTACTGGAACGACCCACACCGACTGGATTCAGAGAAAGACACCTTTTCTGGAAACGTGAGTCCTGTTGCCTTTATTTCCTTTTGCAAATCGAAGCCCAAATTTCCCACTTAGCCTGAACCAACCACAGGAACTTTCCCTTCACTTTTCAGTCGCGGTTCGCCAGTGTTCAGAGCAGCACTGGACCCATCTCTACCAGTTCTCAATAAACCTGTTAAACCTTCCCTCTCTTTCTGTTTGGTTTTCTGCGTGTGGGTCAGATCTTTGAATAAAACCATGACAACAGGTTATGGTCAAGCATGACCTGGATGACTGAGAATCTTTAAAAAAACATAACTAATGTGCACAAATTAGTAATACTTGTATTAACCATACATGTAAACAGGGTTTCATGGGGCCCCCAGAAACTTGGGGCCCTAGGCAACTGCCCCTTATTGCCTAATGGTAATTCCCCCCCCTGCCGCTTCCAATGTTTGCGGTCCTTCTGAATAGCAGCAAAGCACACTGGAACCAAACAGGAAATATGCATAGCATAGAGCGGATCTAGATTTGAGCAATTAGAGGCCTCCTGTCTGCGGCACTGTCTATGGTCACCTCCAGTTTGGGAGACGTGCAGCAGAGTGTCTGCGGAAGGCGGTGGGGATATCGCTATGTTCACTGTGACACACACCACCTCGTTTCGAAGTATAAATCAGCCTTAAGAGGTTCTTAACTCCTCCTTTGAGATCTTGGTTGTGTGCTTTCATTTTCCCTCTATGCTGACAAGTCTTCAGTTTCTGCCACTGCTGCAGCAAAAAACATCTCCTTAGCATGATGCTGCCACCACCATGCTTCCCTGTAGGCTTGGTATTGGCCTGGTGATAAGCAGCACCTGGTTTTCTACAAACATCACAGCTAGCATTCACACCAAAGAGTTTCATCTTTGTCTCGGCAGACCAGATAATTTAGCTTTTCATGTTCTGAAAGACCGTCAACCTAAAGGCTGGTGAGACAAAGCTGGTGCTAAAAGAAAGTTAAAGACAATCCACTGGACTTTGTTTCAAAGTTTAAAGACCTTTCGCTTTCCTGGAAGCTTTTTCAATCCAAAATGTCAGGAAGAGCGTTGAGTTTGAGGCTTTAGCCCACACTAGCCCATTTCATGGACTTTCTCTTTTGGAACGACTATGACCTGGATGACTGAGAATCTTCACCAGTAGTGGTGCTAAAAGGCACCGGGCGACTTCAGGATCCTTTTGCCGAAAGGATCCTAAATCATGTCAACTAACTCTGCATCACAGTGATAACACCAAACCAAAATACTTCATATTTGCACCATATTTTTCTAACGCTCTAAACTTCCAGTTCGATATTTCAGTTCTATTCAATTCAGTTCAGTTTATTTACGTAGATCCAGCTCACAACACATGTCATCTCAAGGCACTTTAACTGCTTAAAGGTGAAACTAATTCATTCTTCCTGTATGAGTAAAATATTGGAATACATATAAAGGATGCTTGTTTAGGACTGTTGCTGTTTATCTTAATCTTTATGGGATTAAATTTAATCTAAACAATAAGGAGAATGAATAAGTTTACAGCAAAACAATAAACTGAAACAGTAGAAATGCTCTTCGCTCCTCTGCAGTGATTCAAACCAAACATAGTTTCACTTTCCCTGAGACTTATAAGAGCAAACGCTGTGAGGTGATTGTGAATTCACTCAATCACTGAAGCAATCCACCAACATTTCTACCTTATAGCAAATGTTTAACCTGGATTCTTACCTTCTGAGGCTGATTTAGTTTCCTCCTCTGGTGTTAAATAAAGGCACAGACAGTAGAAGCCGTTAGTTTCCAGATCTGTCAAATGACTGACCAACTAAATCTAAACGTCTCTGTTGATTCTGTGTTTTAGAAAAAAAAACAAAGAACATGCAGTGACGTTGAAACAGGTCTTACCTGCTATAAACCTATCGGTTGTTCCTCTACCTGCCCACCAGGTGGGGCTAAAGCACCAAACATTCTGTCTGTCAAAATCTATTCTCTATATTCACAGTGACTTCCTTTCACACATATATTTCTAATATATATGTGTGTAAA